ATCTTTTAGCCTATTCAGTGCTTTGTAGAATAGCTAAACTTCCTTCGGTGCTGCGTTTATCGCGTGACCGTCGTCGAAGTCTTGAATTAGAACTGCTATTGAAGAATGGAGAGATAGTTTATACTCATATACTTTATTGGAGTGTTCGGGAAATAGTTTAACCTCATATACCCGTTGGGAGGTAATCAGGTTATTCTTAAGAATATTGTGAGTAATATTCTCCAAAAACTTCCTGTTGAGAGTAGGGAAACAGTTTAGACTCGTGTACCTATTGGAGTAATATGGCCTCTTTTTTGTTGGTAGAGATGAACCCGATGATGGAGAGGAAGAATTTTATATTCTATCTCCTGGTCTCTTGTTTGTTGGTAGAGATGAACCCAGAATCGGAGAGGAAGAATTTTATATTCTATCTCCTGGTCTCTTGTTTGTTGGTAGAGATAAACCCGAAATCGGAGAGGAAGAATTTTATATTCTATCTCCTGGTCTCTTGTTTGTTGGTAGAGATAAACCCAGAATCGGAGAAAAAGAATTTTATATTCTATCTCCTGGAGTAAAGAAACTCAAAGTGGGATCTCCACTTAGAGAATCTGGATTGGTTTGAATAATCCTAACTGTCATAAGGTTTGATTACTCAATTCAAAAGTAAACCTTTCGTTCGCAAAAATGAATCGAAAGGAGATTTTGGTTGTGGTCCTAACTGTAGTAAGGTTTGACCAAGTGGGAGTTTTGAGACGATCCTAACCGTTTAAAGATTTGATCGTTCAATTTGTGGACCTCTCGTTCATGGAACGAATCGAGAGGGGATTTTGGCTTTGGTCCTAACTGTTTAAAGGTTTGACCAAGTGAGGAATAGGAGTAGGGTGCAAATAACAATGAGTTTGTTGATTTGCACAAACTACTCGGTGGGAAATTTTGATTTCAAACATAAGAATTTGACACGAAATAATCTGTCGACTGATACATACTGATGATCGTTGATCAATCCGACCGATGGGGGTTTCATAGCGTGAGATTACAAATCATCAAATCTCATCTTCCATGATTATATTACAAGGTTTTGCTGAGGAAAGATTAACTATCATTAAATCTCATCTCAACAAAAGTTGTAAAAGAACAATGAATTATTCAAATGACCAGCTTCTCATTTAAAATAGTGAACTGATCTCGGGTTATCCTGAAATATCCTATATAGGATTCTCTAGGAACTTCCCGCTTTACACAGGTTATCCTGAATATATTACGGATAATATTTTTTCAGGAACTTCCCATTTATTGGCATCATCAATTTGTTGCCATCTTGGGTAACCAGGCGATATGCACCGTTCGAATAGACTGTTTCTATCACAAACGGTCCTTCCCATTTAGGTTCAAATTTGCCTTTCTTCTTAGAAGTGAGAATCATAGGTCTTCGAACGGCGAGAACTAGATCTCCTTCTTTAAAGCTTCGTCGTCGGACCTTTTTATCGAAAGCCCGAGAAATTCTAGCTTGATAAAACTCGATTTGTTGTTGAGCTTCCAAGCGTTTCTCATCTAACATCTCTAATTCCTCGAGACGTTTCTGATGATGTTCTTCCGTCGTCATTCCCGTTACGAGAGCGATACGGAGAGAAGGAATCTGCACTTCCAATGGAAGAACGGCTTCACACCCATACGTTAAAGCATACGGGGTGGCTCCGGTAGGCGTGCGGACGGTCGTACGATAAGCCCAGAGAGCTTCGCCGAGTTTGTCATCCCAATCTCGCTTATTGGTTTTCACCAATTTTGCCAGGATTTTGATGATAGTCTTGTTAAAAGCTTCGGCCAATCCGTTAGCTGTAGGATTATAAGCAGTCGACGAAACGTCTTTAATCCCGAATTTACCGCAGAACTTGATGAATGCGTTGCTCACGAACTGAGGACCGTTGTCGTGCACTATTCGCCTTGGCACACCGTACCGATATATGATATGGTGTTTGATAAATTTGATGACATTGGTCGTCTTTACTTCTCTAAGTGGAACTGCTTCTGCCCATTTCGAGAAATAATCGGTGATTGCCAGAATGAAACGGTCCCCTTTAACCGAAGGTGGAAAAATAGGACCTACTATATCCATTCCCCAAGTTTCAAACGGCCACGATGTCGCCGAAGGATGCAGATATTCAGGGGGTATGTGCATATAATTTGCATGCAATTGACACACTACACATTGTCGTGCGTAATCGACTGCGTCTTTCACCATAGTTGGCCAATAATATCCGATTCTCCTAAGTCGGTCGCAGAGTTTAGGACCGGGCTGATGTGCACCGCATATCCCATTATGTGCCTCTTTGAGTGCTTGTTCCGCTTCTTTACTGGATAGACAACGAAGTAAAAGACCATCATAAGCTCGTCGATACAACGTTTGCGATGTGGCATTGTAATAAAATCTCGGCGCTCTTCGCCGAATCGATTCCCTTTCTCTTACATCTTCAGGTAATATACCATGTAAGACGTAGTCAATAATAGGAAAACGCCAATCTCGAACTTCGGGTTCAACTCCAGTTGAGTATACCTCTTTAGCATTCGAATCGTAGATTGGAACAATAAGCTGATGAGTCCTCACTGTAATTAATTGCTCTGTTTCGGGAGGTTGAGCCAAGGATACTGACAATGCTGCCAATGCATCCGCGTATGTATTTTGGAGACGCGGAACGTACTCGATGAAAAATTCTTCAAACGAGCTTGCTATTTCGATGGCCACCTGGTGGTATGGAATCAGGTCTCGATTTCTGACTTCATACTCTCCTCGTATTTGATTAACCACCAGTTGAGAATCTCCAAAAGCTTCAAGGTATTCGACCCCCAGCTCTTTGGCGAAATTAAGTCCGATTATTAATGCATTGTATTCAGCTACGTTATTAGAGCATGGTTCAGTCAGTGAATATGCTCTAGGCAAGACGTGCTTTTCCGGGGAAACTAAAACGACCCCCACTCCTGAGGAGATTTTAGAACATCCGGGTGCACTTGCCACGTTGGTTGATCGGGAAGCCCCATCGAAGTACAATTGCCACACTTGTTGATGTGAGGTGGTATTAACTTCGTGAGTTTCATCTGGCAGGTCGTCGTACAATTCGACTACATCCTTCGTAGGGTTTTCTGCCAGAAGGTCGCAAATAGCTCGTCCTTTAACAGATTTCTGCTGTTTGAAGTACAAGTCATATTGCGATAAGAGTAAAGCCCATCTGGCCAAACGCCAATTCATGGAAGCCGGTTGGGTCATGAACACTCGGACGGGATTTATGTTGGAAATGACATAAATCGTCTGTCCGACTAAATAATGTCGCATTTTCTGAATCGCGAATACCAAAGCGAGGCATTCCTTCTCAATCATCGGATAACGAGACTCAGCTCCTACCAATGTACGACTCAGATAATACACAGCTTGCTCGTGACCGTTATCGTCGTCTTGTGCAAGTAAGGCACTTAACGAATGGCTCGTCGCTTTGACATAAATCAAAAACGGCTTGCCCGATTTCGGTGCAACGAGAATAGGTGGATTCGCTAGATATTTCTTGATATCTTCGAATGCCTTCTGACATGCTTCATCCCAAATGAACGACACGCCTTTCTTTGCGAGTTTGGAAAACGGTTGACATTTTCCGGACAAGTTCGATATAAACCGACGGATATATGCTAATCGACCTTGCAATCCTCTGAGTTCTTTAAGATTTCTTGGAGGCTGCAGTTCGTTTATCGCCTTCACCTTATCAGGATCAATATGAATACCTTTTGTGGTGACGACGAACCCAAGAAATTTACCGCTCGACATTCCAAGGAAGGATTTAGTCGGGTTCATCTTTAACTCCAAATATTTTACTATAGCATGAACAATATTTATGGAAGTGTCATTACCTCTCCAACAGTATGATTAAGACTGATAAAATATTGTAACATGAACATTAATATAAATATTCTAAATCATACTGTAGGTCCAATCACATACATCATGATGATAGAACATGAGAGTAGCTCCTTCATTTTTAACTTCTTTCATCAGACTTATTGTCCTGCAGTCGCAGTTTGGACTTTTTCAAAAGAGCTAGAAGCCATGAGTACTCCATTTTATGATGATGATGATCGAATATTATTTATGTGCTGGGATGGGCCTAACATATGTACATATGCATTTTGTACAAGATATAGAAAAACTAAGTAGTCACTGTCCTCTATTTTTACTTCTTAATGAGTAATCCTTCAAAGCACTTCACACATAATAATTATCAAATAGAGAATTTTTTTCTTTATTTTTACTTCTTAATGAGTAATCCTTCAAACCACTTTACACATGCATAATATCAAATAGAGAAGGTTTTTTCCCCTTTTTGCTTTAATCAAATAGAGATTTTGATTTTGGTTTATATAATGAATCCTTGAATGGACATTTTTACTTACAAGTATGAAAATCTACAAAATATTCTATCGGAACATGACGCAATAAACTATCTAGCTCTTTCGAGAGAGTACGATGTCTATCGGGATAGGTGGCATGCGACCCCCGGTTCTGAGCCCTTCTATGGAACAAATAGAGGGATAATATCATAATTTTGCCCCTATTCTATGGCTTGGAACCGGTAGTTGCATGCGACCATGTGGCGTGTATTGATAGGACATGGATTTCCGTTGAAGTATAGTAGTTCATGTTCATTGTATTAATGATCGTACTCTTTGATAAGTGTACAAATTTTCGGCCCCCGGTGTATTCACTAAGGGCGCATTTGGAACAAAAAAAAATTTGGGTTTTTTGGGTGAAAGTCTGACACAATGTCAGGCTTTCACCCTAAAACGCCTCTAAAAGAGGCGTTTTAGGGTGAAAGCCTGACATTGTGTCAGGCTTTCACCCAAAAAACTCTCATTTTTTTGGGTTCCAAACGCGTCCTAACCCAAGAATAGACAAACAATTGATGCATCATTAATACAGTAGAGTAATGCATATTTTCTCAATCTATAAATCTATTTCAACGGGTAAACCCAAGAAAAAACCCTTTAACAGCCATGAAAAAAACGCTAATTATAATTATCAGTTATAGTTTACAAAACCATCATATTTTCAAAGAAAAAATGACAATCACAATAATTTAAGGCCATACAAGAAATACAATGCTCAATAAACACAGCATTTGTTATACAGGGAAGCAATAGAAATCTCTCTTCTGCAGCGTGACTGATCATCTACTCACCTGTTCCTGCAATCTTTTTCTTCAAATCTTCAATGTCATTAGCTAGTTCTTTTCTGCTTGACTGTGAAAATGAAGAAATGACATCATCATTAGTTAACACAAGCATCAAGTTCACATTTTCTAAACACAGTAGATCAAATAAAGGAAAACAAAAATTTCAGGTACTGCATATTAATATTCTCATTTAATCCATTATCAAACTTCCATACCATTTTCCAAGGTAAAGTATGTCATAAGCTTTGTAAGGCAATCAAAACTGAGAAGATACCATAATAAATAATAAAGCATTTAACTCAGGTTTTTCTATTATTATTATTTCCTTTGTTACATTGACAACTATCCGTTTTTACTAAGAATCCCATTTTAACTGAGATACTTAACTTGTCTTTACTGTTCATAATGGCCTCAATTGATTAATTCACCCTAATTTTCAAGCTCTCATTTCTTATCCTATCTTTTACTGCATTGCCAATCATAGCGTAAGTCACAACATTTTTCAAACATGTTTCTTAATTTCCTATTCACGAGTAGGAAGGTGTCTCATATTATCATTTAAAGCTAAAATTTAAAAATTAAAAAGTTTGGAATATAAGTCCCCATAAGGGCACAATACGGATCTTTTTTTCACAGTATAATTTCAATATAGTAGAAAGATGTTCAAGAAGCTTTACTGATCTCAAGGTATACCTTGAAGAGTAGGTAGCGATATACAAACCATCCCGTGTATCCGAGACCCACTAACTCCATAATCTTCGGAAGCTGTTAACAGCATTAGAAACAGTTCAGAGAAATGCCTACTAATTTAACTAATAAAGAAGTTAAAATGCCAGCAGCCAAACTTAATATAAATTCACTCTAGAAAGTAAAAAAAAAAGGCTAAATATCTTTATACAGAGTGAGACAAAGTAATCACCAGAGGAACAGAATTGATGGCTCCAACCAGAATAGATGATAGCCAGACTGCAATAATAGCACCTCCTCCATAAATGAAAACCGTTGATTTGTTCTCAATAGCATCCCACTAAAAGCATATAAGTCAACAATGGGCTTGAGAATGGAGAGGAATTTAGTATAAGAAATGAATTATGTAATATGATGATAGATATTACCTTCTCTTTAAGATCTGACAAGAGCTCATCAGTTTGAATAGAAGTGGATGACTCTTCAGAAGAAGCTCTTACTCGAAGCGATGAAAACCTGCACGCATCTATGCAAACAAGAAGTATACTAATTACTTTCACTATCTTGATTTCCCAGTGGCACCGTCTTTTGTGGGTAAATTTCAAGAAACTACCATGCATCATTAGGGGTTTAGCATAAAACCATCATAAACAGTTTTTATTGGAGACAATATCATAAACTTTCAAATGTGCAGAGAATAACACATACTATCAGAAAATTACCCCCTTGTTTGCCTAATTCTGGGGACCATAGGTCCATACATGGATTACAGCTCGAACTCAAGAATGGTTAGAGGTAATATTGATCAAATGTTTCACAAATGAAAAGAACAACTTATAAGACAAAAAGGATCTTGCAGGAGAATCAAATAAACTAGCTGAGTGATATGGAGAGCTAGCTCCCTCGCCAAATAATTTAAGAAGCAAGTTGCAACTCGGGACAAATTTAGATGAAGGCAGATGATAGAAATAATTACATATTACAGGCAGGCTCAAAGACAAAAAAAAAAATTCAGCAGTTTCAATTATTTCAATCTTTCCAATCAAATATAAGGAATTCACTATTGCTAAAAGAATCCCTATGAAAATGTATACTATACATTTAGCATTCAGGCAAGTAGAATTGAATTCCATAACGGCATAATGTTTGCTAAATAGTGTTCAATATCCAAGTAGAGCCCCTTTGCTCCTTTCCCATAAAATGAAACAATATAAGCTAAAAAGAAATCACGAAAGTGGCTCTTCCACAAGATTTTGTATTAAAACGGAGGAAAAACTTAAATAAATTCTCAGCAAAATAGACAAACACTTGTCCATACACTTTTTAGACTTAGAATCTACAAATCAACAATCAACATGCTCTAATTTTATCAAAACTATGCTGTGTTTGGGAGCTCACTAAGGGAAGGGAAGGAAGGGTAGGGGAAAAGAAAGGGAAAATGTCAATTTTCCCACAATTTGAGGTATAAGATTTTAGCGTAAAATTTCCCCCCATTCCCCTCCTCTACCCTCCCAATAAAACTCCCAAACAAGGCTAAACTCAAATTTCTCTTCCCCATCCCTTCTCTACCCTCCATCCAAACACAGAGCTATAGTCACTCCATTTTCTACTCTATGAACAAACTAGACATCACAGCATACTAAAAGGAAATAAAGAACTATCAAATTACACAATTAAAAGGAAAACAACCTTTTCCTCTATTATCATAGCATTCAAATTCATTTAAAATTTAGCCTAAAAAGGCCCTTCCTTGTTTGGGTACTCTTCAAGAATTGCAACCAAGCGGGACACCATTAATTCTTCAAACATCCACAAGCATTTACCAGTTCAAAAAAACTACGCAAAAAAAGAAGCATATTTGAGCAAAATATCAAGTGGGCTTGCATTAAATTTGCAAAATTGGAGACAGAGAGGGGTCACCTGAACACTGAGAAGAGGATGGGAAAGACAAAGAGCGACGAGGGAGAGGGGGGAGAACAACGGACAAGGAACGAGGAGGGGGTGACGATAGCC